AATTTTAAAAATTAATTAAAAATAAGATAAAATAAAAAAATAGAATGATCAACAAATAATACAAAAAGAAAAAGGAAAATAAAGAAAAAAGAAGAAATAGATATAACAAAATAATAATAAAATAAAATGAAATAAAAATAAAATGTGAATTATCATTCCTTTCCACCCATTAAGATCCCACTCTTCTGTACTGTCTGCTGCTTCTCAGTTTCTTGTTGCTGGGACTGAAGGCCTCTCTTTAGGCCAGTCCCTGTGGACTCTCAGGGACCATTTAGATTTTTTTTTTGTATCCTTTGTGCCACTCAAGGTGTAGTCTGGGTGTAGTCTTGGTTGCCTGCAGACTGCAGGGAGGGGCTATCTCTTCAGGACAAATTGGCTGCTTAGGTCCTGCACATCAGGTATGACTCATTGCCAGACTCATGGCCACCTGTCCCCAACCCTCCCCTCTCCCCAGACTCCACAAGTCCTCACCTCTACCTGTACCTCAGCCACGGGTGAGTGTCTGTATTTGAAAGGTCCTATGAACTAGGTTCAGTGAACAAAAGCAAAGACCACAAAGAGGGGAAAGAGCTGTGCCGCTGTGAACCCCTCTCCCGCTGGCACAGTGCGGCCTAGGCAGCCGTCCAGGCCGCCCCCTCTGGGCTCAGTCTCATGTGGCTGTGGACCAAGACCTAGAATCCCCTGCCGCCAGCAGCCCTGTGGACCTACTTTCCACAATCAGACACTATGCTTGTCCCAAGGGACAGGGCCTTGGTGCCATGCAGTTTCCCTCTGACCCTCTGGGCTTGGAGGTCTCACAGTTCTCTCCAGCCCAGATCCCTGATTTTACTGTTCTGCAGGCACCCTCTGCCCTTCCTGGCTGCAAATGGTCTCATCAGCTGTGTCTACTTTGCCAATTCAGGATGGATGTTATTCGATTTAGTTGCTCATTCTATCTGCTCAAGGACAAAGCTCGGGACACATCCCTTTATTCTACTGCCATTTTGTCTAAATATTTTTGTTTTATTGTATATCTTGGGCTAATATGCTAATAAATGGAGATCACACATCATACAAATAGTGGTGCAAAAAATGATAATGTCGATCTAAGTGTAGGTTATAATGATTATTTTAAAACATGTTAAGGAAAAAGTATGGTAGTTGATAAAATTGTATTAGATTATGTTGAAGATGTATTGACAAAATATTCTTTCCTTTTCTCGTAGATTTATCTAAAAACAGACTGGTTGAAGTTCCAATGGAATTGTGCCACTTTGTATCACTGGAAATTCTTAATCTGTATCATAATTGTATCAGAGTCATTCCTGAGGCCATCGTTAATTTACAGATGCTGACTTACTTAAACTTGAGGTAGGTTAACTACAAAGATTGTAGTAAAATTCAAGTAAAAATATGCTTTAATTTATATCAGGTTTTTTTTCTCTTTCCAATTGCTGATCACCCTTTGAAGTAAATCACACAAAGATCATTTAAGAACTATCTTCTATAATACATTTGTAGTGCCATTAATACTGTTTTTGGTCCTAGAATTTTCTGAATGTCAATATGACAAGATGTTTTTGCTTTTTAAAAATAATTTATATGGTATCATTTCTACTTTTTTGCGGGGGCTGACCAGCAGACCCTGAGTGATGGATGAATGTTTACTCTGACACAAGTTTGCTGTGAAAGAGAGAGCTAAGGGATTGCCTGGCTAAAGCAACCAGACAGCCTCAATCGCCTGCCTCTTCAGGCTTTTATTATAACAGCAATTTGAGATAAAGTGTATCTTTTAGCTACAATCAGTAGGGTAAGTAATTTGTGTCTGCAGTGTCCTTTAAGCAAGGGCACCTAAAGATTCTGGTAAACACCCAGGGGCTCAGCTTGTTTGGAAAAGTCATGGCAGGAGCTGCCGCCTTCAGCAAGGTCCATCTAAGGCCCCCGACCTTTTGGAGTTTCCTCCTTACAGACGTTTCAACCAAGTCTCCTGTGCTCCCCCACACTTTTTGTCTCTTTTAAAAGTGTTTTCGGGGGCTGACCAGCAACAGGAAAGGAGAGGGAGAGAGAGAGAAACATCAATGAGAGAGAAACATCGATTGGCTGCCTCCTGCATGCCCCCCACTGGAAATTGAACACAACCCAGACATATGTCCTCAAACCAGTGACCTCTTGGTGCATTGGATGACTTTCAACCACTGTGTCACACTGGCTGGGCTACTTTTAGTCTCTTTTCTGCTTGGAAGGTTGTTGGTATATTGTTTTCAGGTACTGATGTAGATTTTGGAGGAGGAAGATGAAAGGAAGTGAAAAAAGAACATCAGCTTTGGAACAAATTGAGGCCTTGATGGTCTTTGGGCGTATTGGTACCATTGTATTTGCTACCTGGTACTCTCTGAGCTTGTTCACTTTAGGTCACCTGAGAAAGTTCAGAAGGAACAGTGAGCAAATCCAGCAAGACAGGAAGTTTGCTGTCTTTATAGACCATTAAATTAGTTCAGTGTTTGCTGAGAATGGATCAGTGGTCTGTACTGATGCTCTAATTATAGACAATACAGTGTAACATATGAATGCCCTTGAATAGCCCTGAAGTTAAGAAAAGCAGCCATTTTTAGACTTTGGCTAGATTTTGGCTCCTTGTCTTCTAGATCCTTGACTCACATTTGGGTCATTATGAGAGAGAGGGGAGCTCTTTTATCAAATCTATCTGTATTCTAAAAACAAGGTTCCAAAGTTCAAGCCTGAGCATAGCCTTCACTCCACTGGTGTCAGTTGCATTATCTTCATATGCAAAAGGTAGCACCTGATTAGCAAGGTTTGTGCTATGCAACAAATATGCTAAGCTTTAAAATGCAAAATTCCCAATAAACCAGGTATTGCATTAAATTATGATAGATAATGTCAGTTAATTTTTAGTGGGATTTTTTGGGTTCTTTTGGGAGGGGGAGTTGACCACTGGGAATTAGGGGTCTTCTGTTGCTCTGCTCTCTTTGCAGTCCCCTTTGTTGTTGTTTATTTTCCCATTGACACCCCTCCACCCTATACCCACCCCTCCCAGGCCTTCACCACACTATTGTCTGTGTCTATGGGCTATGCATATATGCATATAAATTCCCCAGTTAATCTCTCCCCACCCACCCCTATCTTCCCTCTGAAATTCATCAGTCTGTTCCATGCTTCAATGTCTCTGAATCTTATTCAGTAGATTCCACATATGAGTGAGATCATGTGATATTTATCTTTCTCTGACTGGCTTATTTCGCTTAGCATAATGCTCTCCAGGTCTGTCCATGCTGATGCAAATGGTAAGAGTTCCTTCTTTTTAAACACTGCTGCATTGTATTGCATTGTGTAAATGTACTGCAGCTTTTTTATCCACTCATCTGCTGATGGGCACTTGGGCTGTTTCCAAATCTTAGCTATTGTATATTGTGCTGCTATGAACATACAGAAGGTCAAGAGACATATGAAAAAATGCTCAAAGTCACTAATATCCAAAAGATGCAAATTAAAATGACAATGAGGTATCACCTCACACTTGTCAGAATGGCTATCATCAACAAATCTACAAATGACAAGTGTTGGCGAGGATGTGGAGAAAAGGGAACCCTACACGCTGCTGGTGGGAATGCAGACTGGTGCAGTCACTGTGGAAAACAGTATGGAGTTTCCTAAAAAAATTAAAAATGGAACTCCCATTTGACCCAGTAATCCCACTTCTAGGAATATATCCTAGGAAACTGAAACACCAATCTGAAAGGACATTAGCTATTTTTATTAACTCTACCCTGTCTATTTTCCTTGTTTAAAATTTAGTTTAAAAATATAAATTATGAAATATTCCAAATTTATAGAAAATAATGAAATAGGTGCTCAAGTTCCCACCATTCTAGTTTAACAATATGATATTATTTAGTGCTTTTAAAACATACATAAATGTCACACTGCACATAACCATTTGCAATAATTTTGACTTAACAGATATTAATGTCATTTTTTTCAAATCTCCCACCCTTCCATTCACACCATTGGTACTGGGATCTTTATATTATCACACACACAAAAGGCTTCATTCTACTCTAATAGCAACTTCCCAGTAGTTAATTGCTTTTTTAAAAATTTGGAGGTTAGCCCTAACTGGTTTGGCTCAGTGGATAGAGCATCGGCCTGAGAACTGAAGGGTCCCAGGTTCGATTCCAGTCAAGGGCATGTACCTTGGTTGCAGGCGCATCTCCAGTGGGGGGTGTGCAGGAGGCAGCTGATTGATGTTTCTAACTCTCTATCCCTCTCCCTTCCTCTCTGTAAAAAATCAATAAAATATATATATTTTTTAAAAATTTGGAGTTTCTTATCTTGTCACCAGTTTTTGTTTTGTTTTTAAGAATAAGCATCTTCATTACAGGAGCTAATATAGGAGGGAAGAGGATTTATTTGCCTTTCTGGGCCTTGATTTTCCTCACATAGAACTCCAACTCTTTGCCCTCTAGCACATAACCATCTGCTTGGGCATGTTGGCCTGGTCTTGGAGCAATGCTTGCAAGAAGCTTGCCCTGCTGGAACTGCTCCTCTGGAAGACTGCTGATTTTGGCATACTTTTTCCTTTCATCATATTTCTTCTGAATTTTCTTTGATCATTTTTTGTTTAAAATCTCTTCCTCCTAAGGAGTCAGCTTGACCCCCTTCTTGTGGTGCAGGGGCAGTGCCTAGTGGGACTCATACCACTGTAGGTACAGTGTGCTGTCAATGAGCACAATGCAGTTCTTTTCTCGGGGGTTGGTATGGACCAGTTCATTATTGGATGCATCGTAGAGAAGATCAATAATCCTTGTTTTGTAAGTACTACTCTTGAGCCCCAGGAGAAGTTTGCCCACATCCAGCCTCAAGGTTTGATACTTCTTGTTACCACCCCATACACGGACTGTGTGTACGGGCAAGGGCCAATCTTAGTGTGGGCAGCAGGGTGTCCCAGGTCATATTTTTGTTTCTTATGGTGGGGCTTTCTCTTGCTCCTGGTCTTATGGTGCTTGTGAAATGGGAAATTTGGACTGGAAACACATGGTGTCTCTCTGGGCAGGATGGTTCCCGGGCTCTTTGTCTGGTGGAGTCAAAGAATGAAACCGCGGATGAAAGATGGTATAGCAAAGGTGGAAGTTTATTGAGAAACAAGCACAGACTCCCATGTGGGGAGGGAAAAGAGTCCCACCAAGTCCCTTTTTCCATGGTTTATAAAGGCTGCAGGGTTTTTTGTGCCTCAGTATCCCTTCTGATTGGTCACCATCCCCCTTTGATTTGGTCACTATAGCAACTCCTGAACTCAAGTCTCACGTGAAATATGTGAGGTTCCCTCCTCCTCCCTTATTATTCTCCTATTCCCTCTAGTTTGTAAATGTGTACCTTTTGCTACCCCCAGTTCCCTTATCTTATGGAAATGTAACTTCTGCGGCTTCCAGCTCCCTTGTCTTATGGAAATGTACCCTTTGCAGCTCTGTAGCCCTGTGCTTTTTCCATGGACCCTTTAATTCCTAAAATTTTCTAAACCTGCCTATTTTACCTCTAAAAACGCCTTTCACTTGTACCACTTGTCCCAAAAAATGCCCATGATTTGGCACTGGATAGAAAGAGCCTGCCTCCAGTTTTTATTAAACCAACTTTATCAAGGTATAACTTGTACCCAGTCTTTTTTATAGATTATGGATCACTAATTTTTGTATAATCAAATAAAGCTAATTTTACTTTAAAGTAGGAATAAAATTGGCAGGTCTGAGTATAAAAGTGTATCACTATTTAAATGAAGACTTGGTCTCTTCCTCTCATCCTTTCAATGAAATCAAATATCAGATACAGGCAAGATTCTGCCCTTAATCTTACCCATCTTCTTCCTTCCCCAAAGGTAAATGCTATCCTACTTGGTGTGTATTATTCCCAAATATATTTTGTACTTTTTCCACATAGCATGTATGTTTCCATAAATAATATGTGCTATTGTTTAGTGCTTTAAAAACAATATTAGTGTCACGTTGTACATAATGTTTTGCAATAATTTCCACTTAAAATGTTTTTTATGCCCCCAAATTTATTTTTTAAATGTCAAAAGCCTATACTTTTATTTATTTATTTATATATTTTTAATCATTTATTATTTTTCAATTACAGTTGACATATAATATTATATTAGTTTCAGTTGTACACCCACATAACTTACTAAGTTTTCATCCCAATAAATCTGACCTATCTGACACCATACATAGTTATTAGCTGTAACAACCAGTTTGTACTTCTTTTTTTTTAAATATATTTTATTGATTTTTTACAGAGAGGAAGGGAGAGGGATAGAGAGTTAGAAACATCGATGAGAGAGAAACGATCAGCTGGCT